AAAAGAAATGAGCATTGAAATAACAGCAAGTTATTTTACACAGAATTACTTTGTCAAAAACTAGGAAGCTGGATAATGTCAAGTGTGAGTGATTTTTGGAAAGGTACAGAAACCTCAAGAACTAACTGTTAGTTGGGGTGTGGAAGGGGACAGCCATTGTGGAAAACAACCTGATACATATCCATGTCCCAGCAATTCTGCTCTCTAAGAAAGAGACATACAAGTCTCTAAGGGGCCATGCATGAGGATGCTCACTGCAGCCTTACTTATAGTAGTAGAGGTGAGGAGAGTCTAAAGCATTCTGAGTATCCTCAGCAGGAAGGAGACAGTAAACTGTGGAGGATGTACACCAGGGGTGTCCTGAGCAACCATCAGAAGCCATAGTGTCAATATATTCAGAGCAACATGGACGGATCTTAAAGTCATATTGTTGAGTGAGAAAAGCAAGAATAGGATAAGCTATTTAACACAGTCATGAATATGTAAATTAGAAAATATATACACAGTAAAACAACAGTTCCCATTTTACAAGAACACACACAACAAACTGATTGTGGTAATCATTTCACAATCAATTTTTATTTTATTTTTTATTTTTTGGCAGGTGGACAGTAAGGGGATCTGAATCCTTGACCTTGGTGTTATTAACACCACGCTCTAACCAAGTGAGCTAATCAGCCAGCCCTGCAATCAAATATTAAATCATCATGTTGTATGTTTTATATATTATTTTTGTCAAATATACCTCAGTAAAGATCGGGGGGATATACATATGAACATATTAGAGTGTTTGCCAGCAGGGGGCAGTAAAATAGAGTGGGGTTTGGGGTTATAAGGGAATAAATTAAATTAAAAACAAGAGGTGTTTAGGGGGCTGGCCAGTTACTCAGTTGGTTAGGGCATGGTGCTGACAACACCAAGGTCAAGGGTTTGATCCCTGTACTGGCCAGCCACCAAAAAATAAAAAAAGAGGTATCTTGTGGGGAGTAATGAACCATAAACTGAGAGTATAGGATTAATTCAACCCATGACACCTGAAATCTAAAAAAGAAGCCAGGCAAGGGCTGTGGAAGATAATGAATCCTAAATTTATACATATACAAATATATGTAAATAAATAAATAAATATATATATAGTTTATATATATAATAATAAATATATATATATATATATAATAAATAAATATATATTGAGTTTGTTTTTTATCAGTGACTGGCCAGTATGGGGATCCTAACCCTTGACCTTGATGTAATCAGAACCACACTCTCCCAAGTAAGCTAATTAACCAGCCCATTAATCCCAAATTCAGTAGCAAAGTTATCTCTGGGGTGGGATCAGGCAGCTTCAAATGCCTCTGCAATGTAGGCTTCTTAAAAAAAAAAATCTGCTGCGGGGCTGGCCCCATGGCTCACTCAGGAGAGTGTGGCGCTGGGAGCGCTGAGGCCGCAGGTTCGGATCCTATTTAGGGATGGCTGGTGCGCTCACTGGCTGAGCCGAGGGTTGCGATCCCCTTACCGGTCACAAAAAAAAAAAAAAAATCTGCTGTGAATATACAAAAATATGACAAAAAAATCTGACAAAGCTGGGTGGTAGGTAATAAAAAAATTTAAGAAAACATGAGAGGGGCCGGCCCGGTGGCGCACTGCTACAGTGCGCCACTTGGGAGGGCGGCGGTGCTCCCGCTGAGGGTTCGGATCCCACATACAGACCGGCCGCTCACTGGCTGAGCGAGGTGCGGGTGCAACACCGAGGTTTGCGATCCCGTTGCCGGTCCCGGTCCGGTACGGCCGCGACACTGAGGGTTGTGATCCGTTGCTGGACACGAAAAAAGACAAAAAGGGGAAAAAAAAAAAAGAAAACATGAGAATAAAAATAAATATAAAGAAAATATGTCATTAAAGTCTAGTCAGACACTGAGGTCTGTTGAGGGCTGCTGTAAGCATGGTTAGAGACATGTTAAGGATACAGTAGCATCGAGGGCCTGCCTGTGGCTCACTCGGGAGAGTGTGGTGCTGATAATACCAAGGCCACAGGTTCGGATCCCTATATAGGGATGGCCGGTTAGCTCACTTGGAAGAGCGTGGTGCTAACAACACCAAGTCAAGGGTTAAGATCCCCTGACCAGTCATCTTTTAAAAAAGGATACAGTAGCATCAAACTGAGTCTTTCTCTATGGCACCATCAGAGGGCTGGATTAGAACTGGATAACTTTCTTATCACATGAGTTTTTATTATTTCATGACTTTTTATTTCTTGTCGCTGGACAACCTAAAATCATCTCATGTGCCTCCTTTAGAAAACACTACTTTAATACATTAGGATGTTTCTTTGGAAGGATCTACCCTCATTAGAAGGCACTGTAATTTTTTTTTAAAAAATGACATACAGGACCGGCCCGGTGGTGCACTGGAGAGTGCGCCTCTTGGGAGCGTGGCGGTGCTCCCACCGAGGGTTCGGATCCCATGTGGAGACCGGTTCCGCTCACTGGCTGAGCGCGGTGCAGATGCAACACCGAGGGTTGCGATCCCGTTACCGGTCAGTAAAAAAGACAAAAAGAAAAAAAAATGACATACAGAAAATTACACTTATTATAAGTGTACATCATAATGGATTTTCACATCTGAACACCCGCACATAACCAGTGTCTAAATCAAGAAAGAGAAGTCCGCCTTATGTCTCCTCCAGTCACAATGCCCCCACGGGTAACCACTACCTTGACTTTTATCACCTTAGATTGGTTTTGACTGTTCTAGAACTCCAAATCTAGAATCATACAGTTGTAGTCTTTTGACTATGGCTTTTTAAAATTTAGCATAATGCTTTCGAGATTCATCCCTGCAGTTCTGTGTACCAATAGTTTATTCCAGGGGCCAGCCCGGTGGCGCACTGCTACAGTGCGCTGCTTGGGAGCGTGGCGGCGCTCCCGCCGAGGGTTCGGATCCCACATACAGACCAGCCGCTCACTGGCTGAGCGAGGTGCGGGCGCAACACCGAGGGTTGTGATCCCGTTGCCGGTCCCGGTCCGGTAGGGCACAACACTGAGGGTTGCGATCCATTGCCGGTCACGAAAAAAAAAAAAAGACAAAAAAAAAAAAATAGTTTATTCCTGGGGCTGGCCCATGGCTCACTTGGGAGAGCATGGTGCTGACAACACCAGGTCAAGGGTTAAGATCCCCTTACCGGTCATCTTTAAAAAAAAAAAAATTGGTTCATTCCCTTTTATTGCTGAATATTACCCGTTGTATGCAGGTACCATAATGTACGATTCTGTTGTTGAGGGGCATTTGGGTGGTTCCCAGTTCATGAATTACATTCACAGCATTTGGTAGACAGAAGCGGGGGAATTCCCAGGCACAAATGGCTGGGTCATACGATAGGTCTATGTTCAGCATTAGGAGATACCAGCATTGCAATTTTTTTAAGGAAGTAATTAGCACATTAACATTTATTGTTTTGAAGACTAATTTACATAGTAGTAAGAAATAATACTGAAAATTCAAGTTTGACATCAAAGTACACTAGCTTCATGTTTCAGAACAAAATGGATCCTTTTTACAACTGGTGGCATATTAATGCCCCACTGATGACAAACTTATGCTTTATTAGACATTTTACATAACTTGCAAATATTGTTACCAAGTATTTGAAAATAAAAATATTTCAAATTATTCTCATGACCCTATTATTTTGCAAATTATTTAAAATTTATAAAATGTACTTGCAATTCATGTTCATTATTTAAACTTTCTCGTTAGTCCTTAATATAAACTTAAAGCAGGGGGGTTCAGAAGTTCTGGGGCCGATGTGCGGGCGTCAGACCAACGTTTTCGCCTGCAGAATCAGCTCTGTGCCACTAGGGGGCGCCATCGGAGAGAACATGGGCCTCCCGTGAGCGCGGCTGGTGAGGCGCGGCCACCTGCAGCAGACATCCTCTGCAGACATCCCACACTTAGTTCCCACCGCAGCCGGGAAAGTGGTCTGATGATACCCATTTTGCAGATCGGCAAATGTACGCACAAAATCGCCCCGCACAGAGGAGGCAGAACTGAGATTTGAACGTATGTTTCTTTGGTTCTGTGGCCTAAAGAAATTTCCACCGGTGGCTTTGTCCGTGGGGGTGGGGGCGGGGCGGACTTTTCTCCCAACAAGCCCATTCAGTGTGCCTCCTCCCTTTTTCCAGCACACTCCTCTCCCCCTCGTTGTATACTCATATCAAACTCCCCTCACACACCCATCTCACATGCCATCCTCTCCCGTCAGCCCCCCACCCACGTAATCAGCCTCCTGAGCATCCCTTCCACCTGTCCCCTCATCTCACCACCATTCTGCCTGGCTATAGCGCTGTCCTCACTTGCCAGCAGCGTTCTTCCCTGGGCTCCTCAAGGTCACACAATTTGGGATTCACATGGATCTGACTCGGATCTTGCTCCTGCTCCCAGGAAGGCCCATGTCCTAGGGAGAGAAACATCAGGTGGTGCCCTCACCCCCCTCCACCACCACCACAGCCTGGGAACCAGAGGCATTGGGCACATCACCCTGCCCATGTGGCCAGACATTAGCACAATCTGGAATTTCAGGTCTATAAGTCACTTGGGTGGCAGGGAACTCATGAAAGCTGTTCTCCTATCCTGGTCTGCCTGCTTGACCTCTTGTCTCCTCCTCCAGTTGCCCTCCCCCCTTCCTAGTAGTCTGGCCCAAGGAAGTGCCTGGACATATATATAGAGAGCCACTGTGGAAGGTGCTGGCCAGAGAGGCTTCGGGCAGAGAAGGTGAGGAGGGGGCTCTGGGAGCTGGGAAGGTCTGAGGCTCAGCGAGCCTGGTTTTCCTCACCACTAGCATTGTGGGTGGCTGGACACATTGGTACCGGTCTGGGCCCAGCAGAGAACGGGGCGCAGCGCCTGGCAGCTGGGGTGTGGAGTGGAGATGGGGGGTCCAGCTGGGGCCTCCCTCCCCTCCTGACCTCTGTCTGGCCTCATCCCTGCTCAGGTGTCTCAGGCAGGACTATGGCTTCTGCAGCAGCAGAGGCGGAGAAGGGGTCTCCGGTTGTGGTGGGGCTGCTGGTCCTGGGCAACATCATTATTCTGGTGAGATACCCCAGTGCTGGGGAGCTGAGTGTGTGTATGGTGGGGAGGGGGTAGTCCTGAGTTTGGGGGTGGGGACTGAGGGTCCAGGACTCCCTAGTAGGCCAGTACTGCAGACTCTTAGGTCAGAGCAACCTGGGTTCAAATCCCAGCTCCACCTCTCCCCAGCAATGTCATCCTAAGCAAGCAACTTTACTTCTCTGTGCCTCCTTTTCCTCATCTCTAGATTGTTTCCTCATCGTGTAGATTGTCGTTGTGTGGATTAGTCCATGTGTGGCCCTCAGCTCAGAAAAAGTGCCCAACAAATGCTAGCTATCACCATCAACATCATTATGGACACAACGCAACTGCTTGGCCCACAGGAGGCCCATAAAAACAATGTTTTTTAATTAATATTTTTTAAAAAATATGTAATGGCTGCACACGACTCTGGAACCAGACAGCTTGGGTTCAAATACCAGCTCCAACACTTTCTAGTTGTGGGACCTGGGGCCAGTGATATAACCTCTGTGGACCTCAGGTTTCTCATCTGTAAGAGGACGGTGAAATAGGAATGCTGTGAGGATAAAATGAGTTCTTGGATTACTGTGCTTAGAAAAGAGTTTGGTACACATTACTATTTGTACCATTTGTTACTATTTGTATTGGCCGGAACCATAGTACACTACAGCTGATAACGATAACGACTGTCACACATAAAGCAGTTACCCGACCACTACCTGGCACACAGTAAGTTCTCTGTAAGTGTCAGCTTTTGTTGTTGTCAACGGTGTCCACTGAGAAGTCTTCCTCCCTCCTTGTTCCCCATGCCCCACCCCTATAGGTAACCAGATTTTCAGTTTCTCCAATATTTCTTTAGGCAAACATAAGCAAATAGGAACTTAAATGCCCATTTTTGTCCCATTTCTTTCCGCAAATGTAGCTCTTTCCACATCCTGCTGTGTGCCTCCCATTTTCTCCTGCTCACATAGTCTGTAGGCTCACATGAATCCTCAGAGAGCCTCCCTGCCTCTTTTAAAAACTGCACAGTTCTCCATTGTGTGGCATTTTGGTCCCATTAACCAGGGTGCTGCAGGGCATAACTTTGTGGGTGTGTGATTCTCCTGCATGGGCGGGTGTATCTGTAGGACTGATTTCTGAAAGTTAAATTACTGGACCAAAGGGTTGATGGATTTGTAATTTTTCTGGCCATGGCCATAAATTCCTCTCCTCAGGGAATAACAATGCTATTAACGGAGGGCAGTTTGACTGAGCATCTCTTCTGTGCCAGTCATGTGCTCCAGATTTTATCCTTGAAGGAACTGGCAGCTGGGATATAGGGGTCGGGGATCTGGCTGGGCCCTCCCTTCCTTCCCAGACTTTGCCCAGCCTCATCCCTGCTCAGGGAGGGCAAGGTCTCTGCCACTCTTACTACATGCCCACTTTACCAAGAGAACAGTGGAGGCTCAGAACGGGGAAGGAACTTACTCATGGAGACTCATGGAGCTGGGGCTGTTGGCCCTGAGCAAATCTTCCTAACCAGCTTCACTGTCTAGCTGTCAGGACTGGCCCTGTTTGCTGAGACGGTATGGGTGACAGCCGACCAGTACCGTGTGTACCCACTGATGGGTGTCTCAGGCAAAGATGATGTCTTCACTGGTGCCTGGATCGCCATCTTCTGTGGCTTCTCCTTCTTCGTGGTGGCTAGCTTTGGTGTGGGCGCAGTGCTCTGCCACCGCCGGTCCATGATTCTCACGGTGAGGCCCCAGCTGGCGCCTGGATCGCCATCTTCTGTGGCTTCTCCTTCTTCGTGGTGGCCAGCTTTGGTGTGGGCGCAGTGCTCTGCCACCGCCGGTCCATGATTCTCACGGTGAGGCCCCAGGAGGGAGGTGGACGGGGACCAGTGGGCATGGAGATCATCATCACTGAGTCATAATAGCAGCCATCACAGCTGCTAGTGTGAATTCACCATGGCACCACACTCGGGGCCTCATGGGCATCATTTCATTTAATCTTCCCATAGCCCAATAATCTAGGCTTGGCTATTACCCCCATTTTACAAAGAAAACTGGGGCACAGGGAAGGGAGGGAAGCTCTGCACAGCAGGATGGCTCTTGAGCAGCAGGTCTAGAATTCGAGCCCCAGCTAGTTGGTCTCCAGAGGCGGTGCTCATGAGCTCTAGCAATAACAACAACAAAAATAATAATAGCACAGCTACCGTTTAAGGAGTTTTTACTACATGCCAGAGGCTGCTTTAAGCGGTTTACATGGATTAGTTTATTCCTCACAGCCCACCATGAGATAGTATCATCATTCATCACGGTGACACTATTTGACAGAGACTGAAACTGCGGCTCAAAGAGGTAGTCACTTATCCAGGGTCACACAGCAAGCGAGTGGCAGAGCCAGTTTAAACCCGAGCAGTTCAACTCTTGAGCCTGCGCTCTTAATCTCTGCCAATAACCCAAGTGCCTCTCATGTGGCTGACACTAGGGTAAGCAGTTTAGAAAATGAGCTCCCTCAATGCTCCCAGAAGCCCTCTGAAGTTAGTGCTTGTTAACCCACTTACCAGATGAGAAAACTGAGGCTCAAAAGGGCCAACAGCCTCTTCCAGGTGATTGAGAGAGCAGGGATTCTCATCCAGGCCCGACTGACAGAGACAGCACTGTGCTTCCTCTACAGCTGAGGGTCTTTCAGATTCCCAGGAGCAGCTACTTATTCAGTCAACAAATGTTTATTGAGCAGGAACCACATGCCAAGCCCTACACTAGGCGCTAGAGCTATAGTAGTAACTAAATATAAAAGCCCTTGCCCTGGGGGAGCGATGCTGTGACAAGGGAGACAGTGAGCAGGGAAGGGAGGTCAGGAGCTGGGGAAGGGCAAGGGAAAACCTCACAGCCAGAGGAAGCAAAGACCTAGAGGAGGTGAGGAAGTGAGTC